AATGATGATGTCGGCAATGATGATGATCATGTTGATGATGATGTTAATGATGATGATTATGTTGATAACGATGATGATGTTGAAGATGATGATGATGTGAATTGCAAAGAAGAAATGCGTGTAAGGAAGTAGTTGCAAGTACGCTGGTTAACGTGAACGTTCTAATCCCCCCCAAACCCAACCCCATGCCCACACGCCACCGGACACCAACGTCAACATATCAAAACCGAAACATCGACCGCGTGTCAAACCGTGACTTGCAAAAGTGAAAAGCGTGTCAAGAACGAAGATGCAGGAACGTTAATAAACAAGAACGTTATTAGCCCCCCCCCACCCCACCCCATCCCCCCGAACAAACCCTGGCATGCCAACACGCAACTATCACCGCAAGCGCGTCACGAAACACAGCAAAAAGCGCGGAAAATTCAACGGCGCACAAGAAAACACTGTAGAACGTGGAATGAAATGGATGCTTCGAAAATATTCGAAAATGACGTAAACATGAAAAAACGACAACACTCCGCGACGCCCTCGCGGGGTGCTTACCAAAAACAACCAACATGCTACGGAACAGCTGAGGGCCCCAAGAGTTCTTGGCGTTCTTGGCGAGAACAAGTAATCTTGCAGCGATCTGGGACTGAACCTCCCTCATTTCAGCAACCTTTGAAGGCACGCTGGGCGTCTTTAGGTAAGGGCCCTTGCATTTGACACAGTCGCGCCAATGTGCGCGTCGCTTGCAACTGGGATGTTGATCATCCTGGTATCTCTTGACAGGAACCTTCCAACCGCACAGACAAGTGTCTGAAGAAGCTAAGCCAGGCTTCTTTGATTTTTTTCCTCTTGCGAGCATCCGCATTCTTCTTGTTGAGCTTCATGGTACTTGCAAAAAAGGTTTCTTCAAAAGCAAAGTTTCAGCTCTGGAACATCGAGCACCACTTGCATTCACAAAGTTGGACATGGCAACTGCGGTGCTGGGAGAACGTTTAGGTGTGCGACCAACTGCCGGAGATGCCTTGCTGAGGCTGCGGCATTGCTTTGTTCTTCCACCAATTGAGCTCGCGCAGCAGCTTGCATTTCTCACCGTGTGACCACAAACACTTGAAGGAATACCGCCCCGATTACCAGAGGCCACCGGCTTGGTGGTCAGTGCAAGAATATCAGGAGGAACTTCACCAACATAGGCTTGATAGTGATCTTTGCCGTTGTAAAACAAAGCAATCGGCTCCAAAGAGCCTTCAGAATTGAAACAATGGAAGTTGCCAGCGGCATGGGCTATGACAATGGGTCGGTTCATCGTAACTGCCATTGCGGCGAGCTCAAAGTAGCCACACCAGGAGCCTTCCTTTGCCACCTCATTCACATATTCAGAGAAATTGTTGGGTTTGGATCCTTCAGCACAACCTGAGCCATCCCCGAAAGCCGAATAAGTCGACGAGTGCTTGCGCAAATGTTTGACGCATGACGCTCTGAGGTGAAGATGATGGCACTCCTTTCCACAGAATTGCAAGCAGTCTGATAGTGCATGGAACAAGCAGTTGCCCTGTCCACTGTTGTCCTTGAGCTGAGTGCCAGGAATGAGGTCCGCTGAGGACTTGAACTTCTTGGCTGCACTGCCACCTTCTCCATTTGGCCCTGTCTTAATTGCCACTGGTCATGCGAGCATCTTCCTGAGAAGCCACAGGAGTCGCATTGACAGCCTCTGAGATCGTGGGTGTCTGTTGAGGAACAGCATGGCCAGCAACAGTAGTAGGCTCATGACCAAAACGGGTGCGAGATTCCAAGGGTAAAGCTTTGCCTGCAGGAATTCGCCGAGAATCTTGTCGGGTGATGGCTACTGTGTCATCACCATCCACTGCAGCAAAATTGTCGAGCGATTGAATCCCAGTAGCTCAGAAGCGCCAAATTGCTCCCCCTCGCTGAGGCACTTATTTTCCAGAAATTCAATTTCCTGCAAGCCAGCTTGCTGCGCCAGAAACTCTACCTGCTCAAACTCCCAGCTCCGTGGGGCCCGTGATGATTTCCAAAGTCGGCGGATCTTGCGATCATGACTTTGATCGGCCTGTGTTGCCGGTCTTCTCACACCAAGCTGCCTGAAGCCTCGGATCACCCCCATGTCAAGGGAAAGCTGCCGAACTCTTTCCACATACGCACCGTAAGTTTCTTTCGGTTCTGCATTTTGCCAAGTCACTTCAGTTTTGTCAAAACGACCTCCAATGCTGTCTGTAGGGCATTTAGCTGCAAGTTCAACAAACCAGCGTTGGCCGTTCAATTCGCGACCACATCTCTGTCCATCCCCATGAGTCTTGCAAAGTGCGGGGGGAGGCCACACATGAGCTCCATTGGCGAGCGTGAAGCCCGGGATTTTTGATCAAAGACTGCCAACTGCATTTGGACTGATCGTTGTAGCATTGCTCTGAGACAAACCTCAAGACCACTGTTTTTACTGAGGCAGGCTTCAAAGTGTCAAACTGCTTGAGTTCAGGTCTTTTTGCAACCTCAGCACCGATGTATCGAACCCAAACTTGTCGAAATACCACATTGTGTCCTTGAAGGCCAGGTGGGCCAGGTGTCACTTCCTTTTCCACATGTTGCTCTGGACATTGGGTGGAGGAGAAAGACCGGCCTCATAGACCAAAATGATCTGCACATCCGTTTTTTCTTCCACAAAGTCCAAAAAAGCTGAAAGAGCGCCCGAAGTCTTCGGTTGCGCAACGAGTTTGGCGTTCCCGTCTGTTTCGCGTAAACGAAGAAACTCATCCAAATCATGCACGATTCCAGCGTTGGACCAGTCACACGGTCGAAGTTTCCATTCAACTTGGCGGCTACCAGAATAAGCGCCTGGAGGACCTTTGCCCGCACATCTCCCCTTGTTAGCCACAATGCTTTTACAATCAATGTCATCAACCCTTTCTGCATCAAGACGTGATGAATGAAGGCGAGAGATGAGAATGCGGCGAGCCCTACTCCTTAAGGATCCTTAAGGCATGGATTATACCGGGATTATTTTGAGTTATCTCCCAGATTATTCTAGTGGGACTAAGGAAATCTCCAGTGTGATCACCAGGGTGGAGACCACAAGGCTCTGATCCTGGTTCAGCTTGGATGCAAATAGTTTGATTTTCAACGCTCAGAATGCGAAGTTTCAGGGCTTTGGCATGGTGGTCTAAGGTCTTTAATGTTGAGGCAGTCACTGAGGCATGTTGTGGGGAGAACTTTACTGCTCCATTTCCAAATGGAGCCGGGCTCCATGTCCAAATGGAGCCGGGCTCCATGTCCAAATGGAGCCAGCTGCTCTATTTGGAGCTGGAAATGTGGCTCTATTTGGAGCTGGAAATGGAGCCAGCGGCTCTGTTTGGAGTTACAAGTCGGCATGGTTCAAAACAGCCGGGGTTGAAAATCCCAAACCATTCGGGGTTGAGACCCTAGCAGGGCCGGAGGTAAGAAACAACAGTCGAAGTTCAGAAAACGTAGTCGGAGTTAGGATGCTCTGCGGGGATTCCCCCATGGAGTTCGATGATTTTCCCAACAAAACCTTCAGCTCAGGGATTTTCCAGCCACGTTTCATATACGTTTGATTACGAGAGGGTGTACCCTCCGGTAGACTAACATAGCTATTGAAAATGGCCATTTATAGTGGATTTACCCATCAAAAACGGTTATTTTCAATAGCTATGTTAGTTTACCAGAGGGTATCAAGTATATCAAGTAAAATTGCGAATGTAGAGAAACATACTCACCAACAAGCACATATTCGTTGGTTGGGGGTTCAGCCAATAATTGGGCTACGCTGGAACATTCACCAAGAAATGGGATATGAATTGAACACCGACAACCATTGATTCATAAACACATTAAAGAGTCAGTGAACCACCCATTCAAAAACACAACTCAGTAATTATGTAGCATCCCACGTAAGATGGAAAAAACTTGAAACCACAAATATGTGAGTTGTGTTCATCCATCAAATTCCAATACACCAGGTCCATTCGTAACTCAACTCTATGCCCAGAACTCCCTGTGCTAGTTGTGTTCGGGGCAAAGGTGAGGAACTGCATCCTTTACATCCGAGAAAAACTTGACGATCCTAACATTTCCTAACCTCATCATCTTCGATGACCATCACTTTTATTATTGCCATTGAAGCCATATCCTAACCTCAACTGTAAGATGCATCAAGTCTCAGACCCACTGCAGGCATTGTGGTTTTTTGTACTTCTGGTAGAGCTTTGTCGCTACCTGTGGCTTTTTGAAACACGAAGGACGGGCCAGGCCATGGTGGGAACTTGACCTGCGCACTTTAGCACGGAAAATTCTAATAAACCAAATGTATCCTTTTTTGAGACAAACTCACATGACCTTTGAACCTTGGCACACATGAAATGCGCAGAGGGCATCATTTGTTGTGAATTAAATCTGTGGGATTGAAATCCAGGCATGCTCTCCAGATTTTAACATGGCACTTGAAATAAAACGGGCATGTATGGGCATGTCCAATTTTGGGAACACCCTCTTCCAAAACCATGGAAATTCGAGTTGCACGGGAGATTTCCTGCATCATGGGTGCATCCCCACGTTGGAGGTGAATGGGACGGGAATGGCCAAAGTTGAAATAAGGTGAGTCTAGAGACCGGAAATGTCAAACGTTGGTAATGCTAGGGTTCAGCATATTATGAAATAATTACATTTGGGGTTAACATGGGATAATTGACATGGGTTGACATCGGTTTAACCCATAAGAGTGTTCTCATCCCCCAAGTCTTTTTGGTTACATCACTGCGACGATTTAAGGAAACATCTCCTACAGAAACCTCTATTTTTGTCCCCATCAAGACAATGATTCTTTCACATGTTCCAATGAAATTATCCTGGGATCACACCAAAAAATCCTTGGTTTCACCGTAGGAGGGTACCCAAAGATTTGATGATTAATTATCACTCATCATTGTCCCGATCACAAATAAACATATATAGGGTTGAAACCCCACATGTTCAGACACGCTCAAATTTGACATTGTAGGCTATAGACTAGATATCCCCTTCATCCCATTTCCCCATGATGCATGGTCAAATGGGTTATTCGTTTATATTCCCCATTTAACCAATGATTACCCTCTGGTAATCAAACATGGTGTGCTGGAAAACACTCCATTTAGAAATGATGGTCCTATTAAAATCTGAACCAATAGAAACTGTCCTAGATATGAAGGTTTCCTAAAATAGGGCTACCCCCAAATCATCCATTTTCGTATTTAGTAGGAGTTTCCTTTTTAAACGATCCATTGGGGGGTACCCCCATTCCAGGAAACCCGGGATCTTCCATCGTCATGGTCAATCATCCCCACAGCGCAGGCGGCGCAGGCCTGTTGCGCCTTCGTGAAGTCGTTGCTATGTACGGCGGTTAGGAAAAGCACCACACCGTACCTGGCGAAGATTTCAGGGCACCCATCCATTCCTTAAACAAATGTTGCTCCAACCATTGTCCAACCATCAAAAACTGCGGTCTAACTATCAAACATAGTTGTCAAACATGGTGGTTTATACAACCATCAAACATTGTGGTTTGATCAAGTCTAACCTGGAAATGTTTGTTTTGATATCAAATATTTAAATTAAAAAAAATGGTTTGACGTGGTTTACAGTAACTATCAAATATGGTGGTTTAACCATCAAGAATTCTGGTTGAACTATCAAGTCCGTCCATCAATAACTGTGGTTTAAATATCATAACGATCGAGTGGTGAATAAGAAAGAAAATCTGCTTTTTTCAGTGTCAAATATGGTCGTTCAATCAGGGTCGTTACCATCAAAATCGTGGACATCAAAACAATCAACTAAATGGATCCAAATGGATCATTTCAGACCAACAATGGCTCTACTGGGTCTACTGGGTCTACTGGTACCACCATTTTGACCAATGCTTATAATGTGAAGTTCGGATATTATTGTCGATTCTGCTGTTTAATTGAGGGGTACCAGTTTAGCAGCGAATGGTATAAAGAGTGTTTACCAAATGGCCATGTTTGATTACTGGAGGTTCATCCCACTAATTCATCAGGGTTTATGCATCTGGGCTTGACATTATCTTGTTGGTGGTTTTTACCATCTTGAAAAATATTAGTCAATGGGAAGGGTTATCCCATATATTATGAAAAAAATGTTTGAAACCACCAACCAGTTATGCATAATAATCCAAGATAAGTGCAATCACAGTGTATAGCAACGCCGGCTACAAGAGCTACAAGCTAATTGTAGGTACTGTAATCAACCAATCAGTCCCAACTCGACTGGGACAAGGGTTTGACAAGCAAATCGCCAAACATCATGTTGTTGAGCCATGAACCATGTGTTCCCCAAGATATCATAAAAACATCAGCGTCATCACCATTCATCATCGTCATCATCATCATCATCCTCATCATCATCGTCGTCATCATCATCACCATTCATCATCATCACCATTCATCATCATCGTCATCATCATCGTCGCCGTCATCGTCACCATCATCGTCACCATCATCATCATCATCATCATCATCATCATCATCATCCCTTCTCATGGCTAATCTAAGCTGCGCGATGATGATATTCCCATCAAGGTAGCCAAAGATCAACCATAGGACCATAAAACTGACCCTCCAAGTTGTGGATTACCCAGGTAGTGCATGTACCAGCCTTAAAAAAAAAAACATGATTTATTTATCACACTATCACGGATATATGTATGTAGATAAATATCTAAATGGATATTATGGATATATGGATATATGTAGATAAATATCTAGAGACTAGATGACCAGTACACATTAAAAGGCACCACTATCCATGGGTATCCCGCTATATATCCTATCGGTGGTATTAGGTATCCAGGATATCCAGTACTTGGAAGGACCTGGCCCCAGCCCCTCGCCAGGCCACTCTTCCATTTCCGGCTCTTTATTCCAAGCCGCCTGGCCAAAAAAAAGGACCAGCGGATGCCGTCCTAAGACTATTCCACTGGATTCAACCAAGAAAAATTCTCAAAATGTGTCTTTTTTGATTGTTGGTTGAATTAGATATGGTTAACATGATTGGTTATCCATTGTTGGTTATCTATTGTTGGTTATCCATGGTTAACATGATTTAACATAATTATCGAAAAAAACTAGATTACCAGCAAACCATCGCAGATTTCACATGATTTAAGAATCAAGCATGGGGAGCAAATTTCAACGAAAAAAAAACATCTCGACGGAAACTGTGCGTCATGTCTTCGCAGGGCTGAGTCCATTGAAAGCAGCATCACTCCTGGCCCTCTGAAATTATAGTTATAGATTTATAGATGAATGATTTTTAATTATAGTTATAGATTTATAGATGACGGAAAATCAATGATAATGATAATTAATTAATGATAATAATCTAAAACTATAACCATAACATACCAGAACTATAATTAAAAATCATTCATCTTTAAATCTATAACTACATCATATAAATGTAGCAAACACATCTAAAACTTGATATAATGAAATAATCTAAGATTCTATAAACATTATCATCATCTAGAATCTAGAATATACTAGAATCATCTACAGTCTCATCTATAAACTTCTACAATATAGGCGATTTTCCATGGCCAGGTGAATTTACAGGATGCTTCAAGGATCCCAAACAGGCACCACTCAACCACGAACTACAGATATTATATAGAGAGAGAGATTCATGTTGATTTCAACACAGGTCTCCAAAATTTAAGCTATCTAGGGCATCATCGTCTTAAAATGTCTTGAAATTTGTTGAAACCAACAGATTATGTCGCTTCGACATGGAACATGCACCAAGAACCGTTGTTGCCAAATTGCCAAATTGTAAAATCTTGGCGTACATGGTTTTGATGTAGAGACATAGACCAATTTGGGGTGCAAATCCACATGTTTAGCTTCAGACTCAACCCAGAACATCCCTCACGGTAGATTGTACCTGGTACCTCCAGTTTTGTTGTTGGTTATGTTATAGATGGCGCATCTGCTTTGTGTTTCTCACCTCGTCAATCTCAGTGGTAAGGCAGCCAATTGCTTGTCCTTCGTGTATGCTTCTGTTGGTTTAATTGCTTAACCAATTTTGATCCGTCCCCAAATGCACACAGACACAGTATGTTTACTTTACAGATGTTTTCCCCACAAGTCATCCATCTGGTGTCAGAAAACCCTCAAATAATCTATCCTGGCAATGGGAAATCATCCAAAAAATACCCACTTAATAAATTTCTTGCTGAAAAATGTTGAAAATGTGGATTCCCCGCCAGGAAAATCTCCCGTGGCTCTTGGAGGTGCAACTTTTGTAACCAGGGCATGACTCACATCTACATGAGATATCCCCAATTAAATGCGGGCTATCTCTCTATATATATATATATATATATATGTATATACATATATATTTATATAGTATTATATATTTATATAATATTATATATTTATATAGTATTATATTGGTAGGATTTGTCTGAGACAAAAAATGATGGTGAATCTAATAGCTATGTGATGGGTGTACCTAATAGTGATTTGATGGGTGTACCATGGTGTACCTAGTAGCGATTTTCAGACAAATCCAGGGTTTGAATGACTTGCCAACTGCACCTCGTACATCTGTGCCACTAAAGGCCATTGCCGACAACGCCTCAAAACCACCTGCCGCTGAAAGGCATCCGCAAGGCATGGGTCGAATCCGATACCAAACCAAGGTTTCCTACCCCATATGCGAACCGTGGTGCTGGAATTTGTCAACATTTGCCCGAACAAAATCACCCAGTTTTGTAGGTAAATATACCATACATGGAGCATATGGGTATCAGATTATCATTTTTTCGGGGAGAATGTTAAGCCATCAATCTATTTCTTGAATGATTCTGGTCCTCAATGACAGGTTTTTATGACTGATTCACCTGAGCCAAATCAAGCCAGGTTCAGATGCACGAGGAAAGGCCAGGCTCCATCACTTCATCTTACTTCATCTGAGGCTCACCACATTGGGGACACCCCGAAGGAAAAATGCAGGAATCACAACTCCAAATCCATGGCTACTGTTGAATGCCCAAAGAGACTTGAATTTCAATGTATATTGATCATACATGATCAATGTTCGCTGACTACCCTGCAGTGGCCCTGTTTCTGCAGAATAGTAGACATACCCCACCATAAGTTGGAAACCACTATGCCACTATGCCCATTTTGCGGGGTTTCCAATTCATGGTGGTACCCCTAGTTATCATCCATTTTAGATTGGGATTTTCCATGAAATAAACATGTTTGAAACCATCCATTTTGATCCATTTTGGTGTAATTACCATAATTTTAGGAAACCCCCATATAGTCACTTGAATTAAGTGGAACTGCACCCCAACCTGTAAGGTGCTCAAACAGGTGTCATCCATTGCGGCCAGGGAGTTCTTCTCGCTGGCGATCCCTGTCGAGCCAAGTTGGCGCAATGTCTTCTTGGAGTACCAACAGATCCACACATGTTGTGATGTATCGTATTGAACCAAATGATAATATGGGGAATCATTAATTCGGAATCATATCCATATATTGTTCTTTGAGCATCAAAAGTTTGGTATGGCGTCACCGATATTTGACCTCACACATTGGCAAACATCTGCAGCACCGCAATCATCCAGCTACAACCGCAAAAAAATGGGCGCTGGAAGCCAGCAGAATAGGTCATGCCACCGTCAATTTGAGCTGTGGAAATCTGTGGTAACCCATGGTAACCCGAAGCCGGAAGGGGAAGCAGCCCGTGGCCCACTTGGCTCTAGAGTTTTGGAAGTTGCAAGTATTGACATGAAAAATCAGCACCGCTTTCAACGCTTCAGTTTCTAACATGTTTCCTTGGTGAGTATTTCGATCTGAGTTTCTAGGCTACCCCCAAATGTCAATTCGTTTTGTTGCGGCAACCTTTCACCCACTTTTCATGGCAACTTTTTGGGGTAGCCCATTTTCCAACACACCCATTTTCCGACACACCCCATCCTGCAGTCACAGTATCTTGGCAAAGCCGAATCGCCTCGTGCGCACCACCGGTTGCGTACCACCGGGCTCTTCCCAAACGACCATTTGGTTGTGTACCAACGGGGGTGCAAATCCACCTCGAAGTGGGAATATAAGTATATTTAGAATTATTTAGAGGGGTTGTATCCCAACTTATTGTGGTTACAACCCTAGTTAAACCCATGAAGCCCAACTGCACCCCGAAGTATGGGGACACGACCAAATGATACAACCATGCTGCTGCTAATTTATTGCCCGTCTTGGGGAGTTCTTCCCCGTGGAGGTTGAATTTTATCCATGAACATTAATCATTAATCTTGCACACCTTGAATGTTCCCCCCTCGCCGGAATAATGACCGGCAAATATCGTTGGAATCTTAACAAAGAAGGCAATCACTTTGGTAATGATGACCAGTCAAGTTGAAATTTGATGAGCCAAATAAGACGCATCAAAGGTTAAAGACGAAAACTGTTAGTTTCACAGAATACAAACCATTGCCCTCTGAAATTTGACTATCAACCCTACAAAATGGATTTGAAAATTGTTTCCAAGGATTCTACTAAATATATTATATACATACATAATATGATAATATACAATAATACAAAATGTGTTGGAGGCTGCAGGCTGCTGGTGTGAAGAGTTTTCCGTGCAATGAACTGTAGGTAGGATGAAATGCAGGAACCTCCAGTAGCCCCAGTAAAAGTCAATACAGCCAAGGGGCACTCCCAGTTGCTACCAATATCTACAAATATTACTGCCAAATAGTTTCCAATCTCCTTGCCAAATATGATTATCAAATATTATCAAATATGAGTGCCAAATGTTATTGCCAAAAATAACCAATTAGACAGCTTGGGCAAATTGTAAAGATCATCCCCCCAACAGACCTTCTAATCCCCGACCAATTGGCCATTTGGGGACGGTTGGAAACCACTCGTTGAGTGGGACGATCGTAACATCTCGCAACCATCATGTCTGGAAAGGTCGACTGCACATACATACAGTCTGGCAATCAAACAATGCTTTGCCGGAAATTTCACATTTACAGATGGTTGTCAAATGGAAATACATTCATTTGGTTTTGAAGTTTTGAAAGTTGGGTAGCCCTATATCCACTGGTTGTCCAGGACATCAGAGGTGAGTAGCCAGCAGATTTATGGTGAATCATGTTTACTGTTGGAAAAACAATCGTAAACCATCCCAACATTTACCATAAATGGAAATAAATGCTCGGTATATGCCGGTATACACAATCAAATTTTGGATGAATTATGATTGTTTTACCAATAGAAGAAATGACGACCTTCCGGATCCTTCCGGTAGTTTAACAACGATTTTGCAACCTGGCAGGTTTGATTACCAGAATGTATCCTTAAAGCAGGAACATCTCAGGTCTCCCGATGTTTCTCATTTGCAAATGACATCACCGGCACCTCGTCTCTTCGGCCGCAACGCTCCAAGGCTACTGCATGAAGCGCACGCACCAACCTGGGTCAGGATCGATGGCGCGGCGGCCTCTATACCCACAAGAACCTTCATTACCGTGGAAAAATCGTCCCTTGATGCGAATTTTTACTATAGTAAATTCTGCATTGTATTCGATTGACATTAATTTTGATTTTTGCATATTGATCAACTGCTATATATATATATATGTATATTACTAAAACAAACATATTATATCACATGAAATTCTAAATCTGTTTATATACACGGTATTAAATTGTACGAGTATCATGCTATATCAAGTTATTTTGTGTTGTTTGTTTGTATATCAAACAAACATTAAGATATGTTATATTACTTGAAGGAAGATTATATCACGTACCAAATGATATTATATTACCTCGCGTCGTCTTATGTTACATTGTATCATACTGTTTAACTTGTCTTATATTGTTTTAGTTTATCTCAGTAAGTATATATATATATACGTATTTGCTCACACATATTTTTTACATATACCTGTGCGTCTTAGGCTTATGTCAGACTTAAATACTGTAAAAAAGTTCTGCCATCTGGGAGGCGTTTTGTCATACTTGCAAAAAATACATAAATATAGAACAGACGCAATACACAAAATAGATAGTACATTTAGATATATATATATATAATACAAATAGTATTGATAATAAAACATGTATTTTAAAAAATATATCGCTTTTCCAAGCTGCAAAACCCGAACAGAACGAATGACAGTTCGATCTCCGCAAGTCAGACTGAACCATTGAGTGAAACCTGCAAACTAGACTTGGGAGGCCATGCCACCAAGGAAGAATGCCGAGCACCAATGACACATGCTAAAGAGGCACCGTTCTTTCCTAGTTCATGCTGCTCCCAATATGCAGCTGCTTCTTCTGCTTCCTGCTCAGACAGAATAGCAGCAACTGGTTTGTCAGCAGGAGGATCCCCTTGACGAAGCTTGGAGAGGACCGCAGGACCTTTCATCAACAAAGCAAGTGGCCAGTCCTCACTCCGAAGAGAATACTCCTTCAGGGGTTGCATGTCACTGGCCTTATCGGTGAGTCAAGATTGATCTCATTCCAACTTGGGCCTTTTCTTGAAGCTTGGCAACTTTGGCTGGCTTGGGCGACCTGTCCTCACCAGAATCCAAAAGCAAATGCCCACCCTCTGTTGCTCGCACTAAAGCACTGAGCTTGTTCAAAAGTGCCCGGCCAGAATATGGGCGCTGAAGCACTGATAGGCGACAGAATTCAGCAGCGCGGTGTCGCCGCTGTTGCTCAATGCGTTGCGCATGCGCAGCAGGAGAGAAGGCTCGGCGGCCTGCAGGGCGGGACCAAGGCACTAAGCTGGGGTTGGGGACTACATTTTGATTCTGGTGGGATCGGTTATAATCTTCAAACACAGCCTGACGGTAGCGCCGCTCCAAAAGTCGGAACCAGGAACCATGACGATCAGCGGCCTTGGTTTCAACTTCATCCTCGCAAAAACCATGTTGATGGCACAACCCAACCCGCATGTCAGGCAAAGATTTAAGGACTGCCGAAATGTGACCCCGTGCAGAAGACGCAGCACGCTGGAAATTACCTACTTCTATGGTATACCCCTTCCAAAGGTTTTAGAGTAGGTGTCAATGTGTCCTAACCAGCGCATCTGCTCCTGCGCTATGGCAGCACTAATGGGGGGTATGCCTAATTTTGCTCCAAGGTCGTGATGATTAATGCCCTGGTCCCGCATGCGAGACAACCTGGTGTTGCACACATAGCGAATAGCCGTGTTCATAACTGACTGGAAGCGATTTATGTTCTTTTGGGTGGTGGCCCGGGTTTTACAGGAGAACGCAAGGGGGCTATACACAAAAGTCATGAGAGTGAGTCGTGTGTGCTTGAGGGCTGGTAGGATTTGAGACCAGCACTTCATGCCACGAAGAACATTCCAAGACCCACAAGACACACATCTGTTTCCTGGCCATAGGCATGTCGTTCTCTTTTACCTTCATGCTCATGGGACCCCCACTGCGAAACTGCTTGTGCAAAACAATCCATGCCGGACAGACCCACGTGATCGCTCTCGTGCAATTCTTGTTTTTTCCGTGCAAGGGGGTGTCATCAGCAAAGATCGTGGTTTCGACCTGGGTGTGTTGGCACGGTCTTTGGTCATTCTTACGAGTCCAGTTGGAATCAAGTTGCATTTCTGGCTTCCATCGCCAGGGCTACCACAACAAAGGCCACGGTGTTGGGCGTTGGCGCGGCGTTTCATGGTGGCAAACTTGACAATGACATTATACAGCACATTCCATGCCCAGGGTGACGTGCCGTCACCTTCTCCAAAGCCTCGGGCTGGCGAATAGGGAGTGCTGAGGGACGCTCTTCCCCTAGCAGACCAAACATCATCTGGGCGCACCTAGGGAGACAGACCACTTGAAGAGAAGGAACGCCTGAACAAATAAATGAAAGCGAGAACAAAACACACCACTGAAGAATGTAGCGGAAAAACTGTCAAAAATGCATCACTAGTGAAAAACACAACGCGGAAACCAGAATTACTTTTCGAAGCGGGGGCGTCATCAGCTGACAACAAAAAAACGCGAAGGCGAATGCGGCCCACTCCTTTTGGATTCAAGTTTCCACTTTGGGTGGTTTTTCATTTGAATAAAAGCTAAGCTGATTTGAGGCCGAGATTCTTGCCTGGAACAGGCTGAGCGTCTAGCAGACTGGTTTCAAAGCACTCTGACCAAATCGACCAAGCACTGTCAACTTTTTTGGTGGAGCACGCTTCAAGAAAAGCAGGAGAAAATTCATCCCATTCTGGGCGATGCTGGAGAGCTTCGGTCCGCACGGTGCCCGAGCCGGTGCACATTTGGGAGCTGTGGTTTTGCTACAAAGCCATCCGTGATGGTAGCTCACCTGACAGAAACGCGAGGACATGTTCTTCTGCGTGGTCATCACCGCCGGCAAAAGCACGCCAGCAAAGGCAGAATGAAAGGCAAATGGCGGCGTGTCATGAACATGATGGTTCAAATCACCCAAGGCCAACACTGGCGTCTTCTCGTGACAAGCAACACTGAGAAACATATCTTCAAGCGACAGTGACAGCCAAGTTTGCCCCCAGTCGGCTTTGGTTGGGCCAAGTAGTAGGCCCGTGTTCTTCACCTCGCATCCCGAGCTACCATACTCCTCATCTTCACAAAGCCATCCCTGACTCACCCAATTTCCCTTCCCGCTTCCAGCCCGTCGCGAAGCGACTAGAATATTTACTGTAGTAACTAAATTGGCCCTACATTTAACACTACATAAATATATACAAATAAATATACACACTGCATTTTGCTAGTTACATCTTTTGTTCTAGTAAAAACCAAGTTCTTACTACAGCAATTTTGCAAATACTAAATGTTGCATTGTATTTAATTTACACTAAATCTGCGTTATTATGATAGTTGATATCAACTGCCTTACAACATATTCTATTATTTTTATTTTATTATATACACATTACTTTGGATTAATATATTTACTATATCGCATGAAATGCTGAATCAGTTTATACTGTATTACATTGAAAATATGTTATATTACATGATTTGGGATTATACCATGTCTAAAATGATACTATACTACGTCGTGTCGTCTTTGTGTCACATTGTATCATATTGTGTTTAACTTGTCTTCTGCTATTTTAGTTTAGTATCGGTAAGTATCTATATGTGTGTGTTTGTGCACACCTTGTTTGACTACATAGATTTATCATGTATACGTGTGCGTCTTATTCCTATGTCAGACTTAAATACTATAAAGAGTTTTTCCATCGGGAAGGCATTGTTTGTCATAATGTAAAAAATGATACATAATTAAAAATATATCATATCATATGTATTATAATATGCCTAATATAAAGCAATAAATTATTATATATATATATTGACTTATGATAAGTCATACAGAATATGTAAACACAGGAGGATTGTACTCAAAACAAGGAAGTGGAAGCATTCGCCGTTTCGTCGTTTTACAGATTGCCCGACAACGGAAACACAAGTTGAAAAGACGACTTGAAGGGTTTTTGCAGTGGCAACATTGCAAGACAAACTATATATATATAACTATATACCCTTTGGTAATTTGTTACATAGCTATTGAAAATGGCCATAGAAATAGTTGATTTTCCCATTAGCAATTGTGATTTTCCATAGCAAACTGTTAGTTTGCCAGAGGGTAGACACCATTTTGTGCCAAGGTGGGACCTTGCAGACTCGCCTTTCATGAGAGGATGGGCGGGTGTTTTTCAGTTCCAATACTAAAACCAAAAAACATTTCTGAGAAAAACTCCCAAAATGATTGTTCGATGGTTGTATGAATGCAACTGTAACTGCCAAGCATGAATACTATATCACATACATCTAGTCTAATAGGTGTATTCAGACCTTTCGCGAACCCTTCGCCGCCCTTTCGCGGTCTTTCGCCACTGCAGCAAAAACACACATCCATATCTGCAGATGTCACTCGGATACTAAAAGTCTTGCATGGGTTTTAGAACGGCTCCCATATGGGTATACATGTCGACTTTAGGGCCTTTCGACCCTGTACTGGGACTGCGACTAGACAACCAAATACGCACCAAACCCTTGTGACCTTTTCTGGTGGGGATGATTGACTAAGGGTTGGTTCGATGCAAAAAAAAACGGGCTTCAACTGGTTCAACAATGAAAATTTGAGACGTTCACCAGTGAAAATGAGAAGTCCACATACCCTCTGGTAAGCCAACATTGCTATTGAAAATTGTCTTTACAGATGACTTACCACAAAAAAAAGCTGATTTTTCATAGTTATGTTAGTTTACTGGAGGGTAGGTCATACTTCACCCCAAATGCTGTTACTTCATGGCATCTGGGGTAGGCATGTTGTCCTGGACTGTAACCAACCAAAGGGGCGTAACATGGCGTAACCAGAAGACACAAGGGGGGTTCAACGCACTCTTGCCTTGGAGCTCACACCCCACAAATGATTCAGAAACGAAGAGAATGCCGCAAATTGTTGGGATATATGAACAACTAGCAATTCTCAACCATATGGGGGGTTATAATCAAAACAAAGTTTGCCCGATACCTTACTAAAACTAGAAATAAATAGATTAAGTCACATGCATGGGCGAGGGTGAAAGTTCAGAAACCAGATTCAGGGGCAGGAATGGCCAAAGCCGGCCAGTCGCTAGACTCAACTTTGAACCGTTCCCTAACTTTCACATCAGGATTATCGCAATCCCAATCACGGCGAGGTATCATCTAAGCGACGCACAAAAAAATTAAAGCCACTAAAGCAACAAGACCTGCACCTCACAACGCCGTGCATCCCCCCAAATGAAAGTCAAAGTCCACTGGCCCCAAAACCAGCCATTCCAATCTTCCAGGAGGAAATCAGAACATCGAAGTCAATTTGACAATGAGGCAATACAACGTTTTAATTCTCACCAAGTTTCATTTGAAATATCTCAGGAGGGTTTTTTGTTCAAGGTGCACCACCAATTTACAAATGGGGCACCCACAAGCCCACAACATTTGTCGATTTATGATAAAACCAACCATTTTCTTGGGTGATCATATCCAGCCATAACTTAGGCCATACCCAATGCTGGACAAGGCCAAACCATGACAGTCCTTGACCCAGCCATGACGAAGCCAAGTCACGCATGGCTGGGCGACTTCTGCAAGAAGCCACTGCAGAGTTTACAAGCCTCGGCGTCTGCGAAATGCTGTGGAATCATGGCCAACTTTGGCTGCTGTCCATCTAGAGGCTGTATCATGAGATGTACGCCAAGAAAACAACTGCATGTATATAAGAACAGGCATTTTTGGATTTACTCTTAAGATATCAGATGTGTTCGAATATCATAGATTCGGATAAATTAATATAAATTATACATCGCTATACATCACTATACATCGTAATATCGTTCTACATGTCTGGATTTTTGCCCCGGCCCTGGATCAAATGCAAGCGCGACCTCTCACGCAACATTTTCGTGCACCTCAGTATCCTTCAACTCACAAGGGGCAAGCACCTAGCAAATTCGCCCAGAACACATCTGGAGAGACCCAAACGTGTTGAACATGGGCTCAGGATTCACCAAGTTCCTTTGCCCCTGGCTCATCCATCATATTCACCCTCTTCCTCATCGAACTCACCCTCTTCTTCAGCAGTGGCATCCTGGTACTGCTGGTACTCAGAGACCAAATCGTTCATGTTGGACTCCGCCTCAGTGAACTCCATCTCGTCCATACCCTCACCGGTGTACCAGTGCAAGAAAGCCTTTCGGCGGAACATGGCAGTGAAGTACTCTGCCACCCTCTTGAACATCTCCTGAATCGCAGTGGAGTTACCCGCAAACGCCACTGCCATCTTGAGACCCTTTGGTGGGATGTCGCACACGGATGCCTTGATGTTGTTGGGGATCCACTCAACAAAGTAGGAAGAGTTCTTGTTCTGAACGTTCAACATTTGCTCGTCAACCTCCTTGGTGGACATGCGGCCTCGGAACAGGGCGGCTGCCGTCAAGTAGCGGCCATGACGAGGATCAGCAGCGCACATCATGTTCTTGGCATCGAACATCCTTGTGATGCCGAATAACTTAAAAACTTCTTGGAACTAAGATGTGACTAAGGCTTAAAGGGACAATGCGAGTTTGAGAAACCATGGGAAACCAGGGGAAACATGTTGTCAACAGAAAAACAGAAAGACTTTCAAAGCCACATGTTCTGACATGTTTAACAACTGAGCATCTGCTGGGTCAGCTCGGGCACGGTCAATGCACGATACTGCTGAGAACCACGGGAGGTCAATGGTGCAAAGCCAGTCATGAAGAAGTGCAAACGTGGGAATGGCACAAGGTTCACTGCAATCTTGCGCAAGTCGCAGTTCAGCTGTCCTGGGAAACGCAAGCAGCAGGTCACACCACTCATAGCAGCAGACACCAAGTGGTTCAGGTCACCGTATGTTGGTGTGGTCAGCTTCAAAGTGCGGAAGCAAATATCGTACAATGCTTCGTTGTCAAGCAGGAAGGACTCATCCGAGTTCTCCACCAACTGATGAAAGCTCAAGACCGCCTTGGTCAAATCACTCATTGTTTCATGATCAAAGAGTAAAATTGGGAGAGAAACTGGGACCAGCGGTGCTAGCAGCTAGCACAAGGTTGGAACCAAAGTATCTTCAGCAGGGCTTTTGGCAGATCCCATCTGAACCTTTGAACACCTTTGAACGTATCTTGCATGGATGCATGTGTTTATCTCATAGAAATTGTGTGGATTGGAGTTGCTCCTGCCCTGCAGGCTTGTCAAAACACACAAACAAACGAAACAACTTACGTACCATTGTCACAGCTTCTCCTAAGCAAAACCAGAGATGCGTTGTATGGCTCCACCACCGTGTCCGACACCTTTGGTGAAGGAATCACGGAGAATGTTTCCATGATACGGTCTGGGTACTCTTCTCGCACCTTGGAAATCAAGAGTGTTCCCATGCCTGCACCAGTGCCTCCACCAAGGGAATGGCAAAGCTGAAATCCCTGAAGGCAATCACAACCTTCGGCCTCCTTGCGAACGACATCAAGCACGGAGTCGATCAACTCAGCTCCCTCAGTGTAGTGACCTTTAGCCCAGTTGTTTCCTGCTCCAGTTTGGCCGAAGACAAAGTTGTCTGGACGGAACAGCTGGCCGAAAGGTCCGGCGCGAACACTGTCCATAGTTCCTGCAATCAGGAAGTTGTTCTCAAGGGGATACTACATTGAAAGCAATTACAAGGATATCTTCTATCCAACAAATTACGTAAAACAACGTCAAACATTCAAAAAATGCATAAAAAAATCAAAAACTGCGATTTTGTGCATGCCTATGAATGCTTGTCAGTCGGCAAGTGCTGCTATAATTTAATGAACAAACAACCTCATCAATCTAGACCAACCTAGTACTCTCGTTGTTTCACCCATCAATCCTGGCTCAAGATCCATCAAGACGGCACGAGGCACATAGCGCCCACCAGTTGCTTCGTTGAAATATACATTGATGCGTTCCTCAAATAACATCAGATCATATCAGATCTGCCCCAATACTCTTTCCCCGGTCTACTTATTGTTGCTTCAAAGATTGCGAAGTTGCTTGATCTTTTGTTTTTTCAAGTGCAAGACATGGAGTGACATCAACAAATAAACACTGCCAACCCATGATCAAAAAGCCTTTGTTTCCATCGATTTGTATGGATGCCCACAAGTCACGAAGGCGCATACAAGCAATGGTATCGTGAAAGCCTTCATCAGAAGAATAACGAAATTACATACCAAAATCTTCCTATTCACAAAAAAAGAAGGATAGAAAGTCTATGTCTGTCATCTTGCCACCGAGATTCAAGCTGCAAGTCGGAGTCACCATGGTATGTTCCGGTTGGGTCAATGCCGTGTTCATCTGCAATGACCTCCCAGAACTTTGCACCGATCTGGTTGCCGCACTGCCCTCCCTGAACGTGCACGAGCTCACGCATGGCTGCTGTTGGAAGCAAGAAGAACGGTCACAAACTGCTTCGAGAGTAGCTGGAGGGCTTCAAGACAAACGAAAAGCCCCAGTTCTGCTAGACTGTATGTTCGAATCTCTTGGACATACTTTCCAGCTTTAACTCTTTCGCTGCTTAAGTCAACCTACGATCTCGTTCTTCCCTAACTGGGATTAATAGGCCCATCTGATGGGCTACTGCCCTGTTTCATGACAAGATGCAGTCAATATACATTGAATGCCACTGAAATTGTTCCCACTGAAACTGTTGAGGAATGTGCTCCTTCAAAACACCAGCCAGCACACCTACATGACCTACATATCACATCGTAAAACCTTGCCTCAAGCCTGTCAAATTCAAATCCGTGCCTCCTATCCGGCACAAAAACACTGAGCCAAATTCCTCAAGCATCATTTTCGTGCACCTCAGTATCCTTTGACTCACAAGGGGCAAGCACCTAGCAAATTCGCCCAGAACACATCTGGAGAGACCCAAACGTGTTGAACATGGGCTCAGGATTCACCAAGTTCCTTTGCCCCTGGCTCATCCATCATATTCACCCTCTTCCTCATCGAACTCACCCTCTTCTTCAGCAGTGGCATCCTGGTACTGCTGGTACTCAGAGACCAAATCGTTCATGTTGGACTCGGCCTCAGTGAACTCCATCTCGTCCATACCCTCACCGGTGTACCAGTGCAAGAAAGCCTTTCGGCGGAACATGGCAGTGAAGTACTCTGCCACCCTCTTGAACATCTCCTGAATCGCAGTGGAGTTACCCGCAAACGCCACTGCCATCTTGAGACCCTTTGGTGGGATGTCGCACACGGATGCCTTGATGTTGTTGGGGATCCACTCAACAAAGTAGGAAGAGTTCTTGTTCTGAACGTTCAACATTTGCTCGTCAACCTCCTTGGTGGACATGCGGCCTCGGAACAGGGCGGCTGCCGTCAAGTAGCGGCCATGACGAGGATCAGCAGCGCACATCATGTTCTTGGCATCGAACATCCTTGTGATGCCGAATAACTTAAAAACTTCTTGGAACTAAGATGTGACTAAGGCTTAAAGGGACAATGCGGGTTTTGGAAACCATGGGAAACCAGGGGAAACATGTTGTCAACAGAAAAACAGAAAGACTTTCAAAGCCACATGTTCTGACATGTTTAACAACTGAGCATCTGCTGGGTCAGCTCGGGCACGGTCAATGCACGATACTGCTGAGAACCACGGGAGGTCAATGGTGCAAAGCCAGTCATGAAGAAGTGCAAACGTGGGAATGGCACAAGGTTCACTGCAATCTTGCGCAAGTCGCAGTTCAGCTGTCCTGGGAAACGCAAGCAGCAGGTCACACCACTCATAGCAGCAGACACCAAGTGGTTCAGGTCACCGTATGTTGGTGTGGTCAGCTTCAAAGTGCGGAAGCAAATATCGTACAATGCTTCGTTGTCAAGCAGGAAGGACTCATCCGAGTTCTCCACCAACTGATGAAAGCTCAAGACCGCCTTGGTCAAATCACTCATTGTTTCATGATCAAAGAGTAAAATTGGGAGAGAAACTGGGACCAGCGGTGCTAGCAGCTAGCACAAGGTTGGAACCAAAGTATCTTCAGCAGGGCTTTTGGCAGATCCCATCTGAACCTTTGAACACCTTTGAACGTATCTTGCATGGATGCATGTGTTTATCTCATAGAAATTGTGTGGATTGGAGTTGCTCCTGCCCTGCAGGCTTGTCAAAACACACAAACAAACGAAACAACTTACGTACCATTGTCACAGCTTCTCCTAAGCAAAACCAGAGATGCGTTGTATGGCTCCACCACCGTGTCCGACACCTTTGGTGAAGGAATCACGGAGAATGTTTCCATGATACGGTCTGGGTACTCTTCTCGCACCTTGGAAATCAAGAGTGTTCCCATGCCTGCACCAGTGCCTCCACCAAGGGAATGGCAAAGCTGAAATCCCTGAAGGCAATCACAACCTTCGGCCTCCTTGCGAACGACATCAAGCACGGAGTCGATCAACTCAGCTCCCTCAGTGTAGTGACCTTTAGCCCAGTTGTTTCCTGCTCCAGTTTGGCCGAAGACAAAGTTGTCTGGACGGAACAGCTGGCCGAAAGGTCCGGCGCGAACACTGTCCATAGTTCCTGCAATCAGGAAGTTGTTCTCAAGGGGATACTACATTGAAAGCAATTACAAGGATATCTTCTATCCAACAAATTACGTAAAACAACGTCAAACATTCAAAAAATGCATAAAAAAATCAAAAACTGCGATTTTGTGCATGCCTATGAATGCTTGTCAGTCGGCAAGTGCTGCTATAATTTAATGAACAAACAACCTCATCAATCTAGACCAACCTAGTACTCTCGTTGTTTCACCCATCAATCCTGGCTCAAGATCCATCAAGACGGCACGAGGCACATAGCGCCCACCAGTTGCTTCGTTGAAATATACATTGATGCGTTCCTCAAATAACATCAGATCATATCAGATCTGCCCCAATACTCTTTCCCCGGTCTACTTATTGTTGCTTCAAAGATTGCGAAGTTGCTTGATCTTTTGTTTTTTCAAGTGCAAGACATGGAGTGACATCAACAAATAGATACTGCCAACCCATGATCAAAAAGCCTTTGTTTCCATCGATTTGTATGGATGCCCCCCAAGTCACGAAGGCATATCATGGAGCATTCCAAGGAACCACAATTACAAGAGCATACAAGCAATGGTATCGTGAAAGCCTTCATCAGAAGAACAACCAAATTACATACCTTCCTGTTCACAAAAAAAGCTAAGGATAGAAAGTCTATGTCTGTCATCTTGCCACCGAGATTCAAGCTGCAAGTCGGAGTCACCATGGTATGTTCCGGTTGGGTCAATGCCGTGTTCATCTGCAATGACCTCCCAGAACTTTGCACCGATCTGGTTGCCGCACTGTCCTCCCTGAACGTGCACGAGCTCACGCATGGCTGCTGTTGGAAGCAAGAAGAACGGTCACAAACTGCTTCGAGAGTAGCTGGAGGGCTTCAAGACAAACGAAAAGCCCCAGTTCTGGTAGACTGTATGTTCGAATCTCTTGGACATACTTTCCAGCTTTAACTCTTTCGCTGCTTAAGTCAACCTACGATCTCGTTCTTCCCTAACTGGGATTGATGGGCCCATCTCCATCTGATGGACTACTGCCCTGTTTCATGGCAAAACGCAGTCAATATACATTGAATGCCACTGAAATTGTTCCCACTGAAATTGTTGAGGAATGTGCTCCTTCAAAACACCAGCCAGCACACCTACATGACCTACATATCACATCGTAAAACCTTGCCTCAAACCTGTCAAATTCAAATCCGTGCCTCCTATCCGGCACAAAAACACTGAGCCAAATTCCTCAAGCATCATTTTCGTGCACCTCAGTATCCTTTGACTCACAAGGGGCAAGCACCTAGCAAATTCGCCCGGAACACATCTGGAGAGACTCAAACGTGTTGAACATGGGCTCAGGATTCACCAAGTTCCTTTGCCCCTGGCTCATCCATCATATTCACCCTCTTCCTCATCGAACTCACCCTCTTCTTCAGCAGTGGCATCCTGGTACTGCTGGTACTCAGAGACCAAATCGTTCATGTTGGACTCGGCCTCAGTGAACTCCATCTCGTCCATACCCTCACCAGTGTACCAGTGCAAGAAAGCCTTTCGGCGGAACATGGCAGTGAAGTACTCTGCCACCCTCTTGAACATCTCCTGAATCGCAGTGGAGTTGCCCGCAAATGCAACTGCCATCTTGAGACCCTTCGGTGGGATGTCGCACACGGATGCCTTGATGTTGTTGGGGATCCACTCAACAAAGTAGGAAGAGTTCTTGTTCTGAACGTTCAACATTTGCTCGTCAACCTCCTTGGTGGACATGCGGCCTCGGAACAGGGCGGCTGCCGTCAAGTAGCGGCCGTGACGAGGATCAGCAGCGCACATCATGTTCTTGGCGTCGAACATCCTTGTGATGCCGAATAACTTAAAAACTTCTTGGAACTAAGATGTGACTAAGGCTTAAAGGGACAATGCGAGTTTTGGGAAACCAGGGGAGACATGTTGTCAACAGAAGGACTTTCAAAGCCACATGTTCTGACATGTTTAACAACTGAGCATCTGCTGGGTCAGCTCGGGCACGGTCAGTGCACGATACTGCTGAGAACCACGGGAAGTCAATGGTGCAAAGCCAGTCATGAAGAAGTGCAAACGTGGGAATGGCACAAGGTTCACTGCAATCTTGCGCAAGTCGCAGTTCAGCTGTCCTGGGAAACGCAAGCAGCAGGTCACACCACTCATAGCAGCAGACACCAAGTGGTTCAGGTCACCGTATGTTGGTGTGGTCAGCTTCAAAGTGCGGAAGCAAATATCGTACAATGCTTCGTTGTCAAGCAGGAAGGACTCATCCGAGTTCTCCACCAACTGATGAAAGCTCAAGACCGCCTTGGTCAAATCACTCATTGTTTCATGATCAAAGAGTAAAATTGGGAGAGAAACTGGGACCAGCGGTGCTAGCAGCTAGCACAAGGTTGGAAACCAAAGTATCTTCAGCAGGGCTTTTCGGCAGATCCCTGCTGCACCTTTGCACACTTTTGAACGTATCTTGCATGGATGCATGTGTTTATCTCATAGAAATTGTGTGGATTGGAGTTGCTCCTGCCCTGCAGGATTGTCAAAACACACAAACAAACGAAACAACTTACGTACCATTGTCACAGCTTCTCCTAAGCAAAACCAGAGATGCGTTGTATGGCTCCACCACCGTGTCCGACACCTTTGGTGAAGGAATCACGGAGAATGTTTCCATGATACGGTCTGGGTACTCTTCTCGCACCTTGGAAATCAAGAGTGTTCCCATGCCTGCACCAGTGCCTCCACCAAGGGAATGGCAAAGCTGAAATCCCTGAAGGCAATCACAACCTTCGGCCTCCTTGCGAACGACATCAAGCACGGAGTCGATCAACTCAGCTCCCTCAGTGTAGTGACCTTTAGCCCAGTTGTTTCCTGCTCCAGTTTGGCCGAAGACAAAGTTGTCTGGACGGAACAGCTGGCCGAAAGGTCCGGCACGAACACTGTCCATAGTTCCTGCAATCAGGAAGTTGTTCTCAAGGGGATACTACATTGAAAGCAATTACAAGGATACCTTCTAGCAGAATCAAAAAATGCGTAAGACAATGTTAAACGTTCAAAAAATGCATAAAACATTCAAGAACTGCGATTTTGTGAATGCCTATGAATGCTTGTCAGTCGGCAAGTGCTGCTATAATTTAATGAACAAACATGAACAAAAACAACCTCATCAATCTAGACCAACCTAGTACTCTCGTTGTTTCACCCATCAATCCTGGCTCAAGATCCATCAAGACGGCACGAGGCACATAGCGCCCACCAGTTGCTTCGTTGAAATATACATTGATGCGTTCCTCAAAAAACATCAGATCATATCAGATCTGCCCCAATACTCTTTCCCCGGTCTACTTATTGCTTCAAAGATTGCGAAGTTGCTTGATCTTTTGTTTCCTATTCACAAAAAAAACGAAGGATAGAAAATCTATGTCTGTCATCTTGCCACCGAGATTCAAGCTGCAAGTCGGAGTCACCATGGTATGTTCCGGTTGGGTCAATGCCGTGTTCATCTGCAATGACCTCCCAGAACTTTGCACCGATCTGGTTGCCGCACTGTCCTCCCTGAACGTGCACGAGCTCACGCATGGCTGCTGTTGGAAGCAAGAAGAACGGTCACAAACTGCTTCGAGAGTAGCTGGAGGGCTTCAAGACAAACGGCCCCAGTTCTGCTAGACTGTATGTTCGAATCTCTTGGACATACTTTCCAGCTTTAACTCTTTCGCTGCTTAAGTCAACCTACGATCTCGTTCTTCCCTAAATGGGATTGATAGGCCCATCTGATGGGCTACTGCCCTGTTTCATGGCAAAATGCAGTCAATATACATTGCATGCCACTGAAATTGTTCCCACTGAAATTGTTGAGGAATGTGCTCCTTCAAAACACCAGCCAGCACACCTACATGACCTACATATCACATCGTAAAACCTTGCCTCAAGCCTGTCAAATTCAAATCCGTGCCTCCTATCCGGCACAAAACACTGAGCCAAATTCCTCAAGCATCATTTTCGTGCATCTCAGTATCCTTTGACTCACAAGGGGCAAGCACCTAGCAAATTCGCCCGGAACACATCTGGAGAGACCCAAACGTGTTGAACATGGGCTCAGGATTCACCAAGTTCCTTTGCCCCTGGCTCATCCATCATATTCACCCTCTTCCTCATCGAACTCACCCTCTTCTTCAGCAGTGGCATCCTGGTACTGCTGGTACTCAGAGACCAAATCGTTCATGTTGGACTCGGCCTCAGTGAACTCCATCTCGTCCATACCCTCACCAGTGTACCAGTGCAAGAAAGCCTTTCGGCGGAACATGGCAGTGAAGTACTCTGCCACCCTCTTGAACATCTCCTGAATCGCAGTGGAGTTACCCGCAAACGCCACTGCCATCTTGAGACCCTTTGGTGGGATGTCGCACACGGATGCCTTGATGTTGTTGGGGATCCACTCAACAAAGTAGGAAGAGTTCTTGTTCTGAACGTTCAACATTTGCTCGTCAACCTCCTTGGTGGACATGCGGCCTCGGAACAGGGCGGCTGCCGTCAAGTAGCGGCCATGACGAGGATCAGCCGCGCACATCATGTTCTTGGCATCGAACATCCTTGTGATGCCGAATAACTTGAAAACTTCTTGGAACTAAGATGTGACTAAGGCTTAAAGGGACAATGCGAGTTTTGGAAACCATGGGAAACCAGGGGAAACATGTTGTCAACAGAAAAACAGAAAGACTTTCAAAGCCACATGTTCTGACATGTTTAACAACTGAGCATCTGCTGGGTCAGCTCGGGCACGGTCAGTGCACGATACTGCTGAGAACCACGGGAGGTCAATGGTACAAAGCCAGTCATGAAGAAGTGCAAACGTGGGAATGGCACAAGGTTCACTGCAATCTTGCGCAAGTCGCAGTTCAGCTGTCCTGGGAAACGCAAGCAGCAGGTCACACCACTCATAGCAGCAGACACCAAGTGGTTCAGGTCACCGTATGTTGGTGTGGTCAGCTTCAAAGTGCGGAAGCAAATATCGTACAATGCTTCGTTGTCAAGCAGGAAGGACTCATCCGAGTTCTCCACCAACTGATGAAAGCTCAAGACCGCCTTGGTCAAGTCATATCAAATCACTATTTTTTTCAAAAGCCGTCCATGATCAAACAGTTAAATTTGGGAGAAATTCATACTTGGAGCAAATGGTGCCATCACAAGCTTAGAACCAAAGTACCTTCAATACGGCTTTTCGGCAGATCCCTGCTGCACCTTTGAATGTCTTTGAACGTATCTTGCGTGGATGCATGTGTCTCTCATAGAAATTGTGTGGATTGGAGTTGCTCCTGCCCTGCAGGCTTGTCAAAACACATAAACAAACGCAAGCAAGTTAAATACCATGTCACAGCTTCTCCTAAGCAAAACCAGAGATGCGTTGTATGGTTCCACCACCGTGTCCGACACCTTTGGTGAAGGAATCACGGAGAATGTTTCCATGATACGGTCTGGGTACTCTTCTCGCACCTTGGAAATCAAGAGTGTTCCCATGCCTGCACCAGTGCCTCCACCAAGGGAATGGCAAAGCTGAAATCCCTGAAGGCAATCACAACCTTCGGCCTCCTTGCGAACGACATCAAGCACGGAGTCAATCAACTCAGCTCCCTCAGTGTAGTGACCTTTAGCCCAGTTGTTTCCTGCTCCAGTTTGGCCGAAGACAAAGTTGTCTGGACGGAACAGCTGGCCGAAAGGTCCGGCACGAACACTGTCCATAGTTCCTGCAATCAGGATGTTGTTCCCAAGTGGATATTACATTGGAAGCGACTTTACAAGGATACCTTCCAGAACTTCTAGCATCTTCTAGCAAAATCCCCAACAAATTTTCATAGGGCATTCACGGACTGCGATTTTATGAATGCCTTGCAATCGATATTTCAAGGTTAGTGCTGCTATAATTTAACGAACGAACTCATCAATCTAGAATCTAGACCTATCTAGTACCCCCTTTTTTGACACATCAATCCTGGCTCAAGATCCATCAAGACGGCACGAGGCACATAGCGCCCACCAGTTGCTTCGTTGAAATATACATTGATGCGCTCCTCAAATAACATCATGTTTGCCCCAATACTCTTCCCCCAGTCTACCTACTTGTTCAAAGATTGCGAAGTTGCCTGATCTTTTGCTCTTCATTTCAAGTGCAAGACATGGAATGACATCAACAAATAGACACTGCCAACCAATACAAGAAACACAATCATATCAAAATTCATGCGAAAAAAGTATAGAATAATTAGAACGTCTATGTCTGCCATCTTGCCACCGAGATTCAAGCTGCAAGTCGGAGTCACCATGGTATGTTCCGGTTGGGTCAATGCCGTGTTCATCCGCAATGACCTCCCAGAACTTTGCACCGATCTGGTTGCCGCACTGTCCTCCCTGAACGTGCACGAGCTCACGCATGGCTGCTGTTGGAAGCAAGAAGAACGGTCACAGACTGCTTCGAGAGTAGCTGGAGGGCTTCAAGACAAACGGCACTTCTCAGTTCTGCTAGACTCCAAGTATCCCCAAGTGAAGAAGTGAATTTCTGAGTGAATGTTCCTTTTGAATCTCTTGGACCTACTTTCCAGCTTTAACTCTTTCGCTGCTTAAGTCAACCTACGATCTCGTCCCCTAAATGTGATAGGCCCATGTGATGGGCCCCTGTTTCACAGCAAACACGGTCAAATCATCAGCCAGCACACCTACATACTTATTACACCATGAAACCTTAGCTCAAACATGCTCAAACCTATCAAGTTCATCCAGAACTGAGCTGGATGTCTCATACATCATTTTCATGCATCTCTCGGTATGCTTCAAGTCTCTTTCTTGAAAGCACCAAGGGCTAGCTAGCAAATTCGCCCAAATCCTGTCTGGAGAGATTCAAACATATTGAAAGTGGGCTCAGGATTCACCGAGTTTCAACTGGCTCATCCATCATATTCACCCTCTTCCTCATTAAACTCACCCTCCTCTTCAGCAGTGGCATCCTGGTACTGCTGGTACTCAGAGACCAAATCGTTCAAGTGAACTCCATCTCGTCCATACCCTCACCAGTGTACCAGTGCAAGAAAGCCTTTCGGCGGAACATGGCAGTGAAGTACTCTGCCACCCTCTTGAACATCTCCTGAATCGCAGTGGAGTTGCCCGCAAATGCAACTGCCATCTTGAGACCCTTCGGTGGGATGTCGCACACGGATGCCTTGATGTTGTTGGGGATCCACTCAACAAAGTAGGAAGAGTTCTTGTTCTGAACGTTCAACATTTGCTCGTCAACCTCCTTGGTGGACATGCGGCCTCGGAACAGGGCGGCTGCCGTCAAGTAGCGGCCGTGACGAGGATCAGCAGCGCACATCATGTTCTTGGCGTCGAACATCCTTGTGATGCCGAATAACTTAAAAACTTCTTGGAACTAAGATGTGACTAAGGCTTAAAGGGACAATGCGAGTTTTGGGAAACCAGGGGAGACATGTTGTCAACAGAAGGACTTTCAAAGCCACATGTTCTGACATGTTTAACAACTGAGCATCTGCTGGGTCAGCTCGGGCACGGTCAGTGCACGATACTGCTGAGAACCACGGGAAGTCAATGGTGCAAAGCCAGTCATGAAGAAGTGCAAACGTGGGAATGGCACAAGGTTCACTGCAATCTTGCGCAAGTCGCAGTTCAGCTGTCCTGGGAAACGCAAGCAGCAGGTCACACCACTCATAGCAGCAGACACCAAGTGGTTCAGGTCGCCGTATGTTGGTGTGGTCAGCTTCAAAGTGCGGAAGCAAATATCGTACAATGCTTCGTTGTCAAGCAGGAAGGACTCATCCGAGTTCTCCACCAACTGATGAAAGCTCAAGACCGCCTTGGTCGGTTCACGTTTGAGGCATGTCCACAGCAAGGTATAAGGAAACATACTGAATGGGAGCATGTGTGGGCATTCGTTTCACTTCATCTCCATTAGACCCTCAGTTCGTCAAGTCATGTCAAATCACTATTTTTTTCAAAAGCCGTCCATGATCAAACAGTTAAATTTGGGAGAAATTCATAATTGGAACAAATGGTGCCATCACAAGCTTAGAACCAAAGTACCTTCAACACGGCTTTTCGGCAGATCCCTGCTGCACCTTTGAACGTCTTTGAACGTATCTTGCGTGGATGCATGTGTGTCTCTCATAGAAATTGTGTGGATTGGAGTTGCTCCTGCCCTGCAGGCTTGTCAAAACACATAAACAAACGCAAGCAAGTTAAATACCATGTCACAGCTTCTCCTAAGCAAAACCAGAGATGCGTTGTATGGTTCCACCACCGTGTCCGACACCTTTGGTGAAGGAATCACGGAGAATGTTTCCATGATACGGTCTGGGTACTCTTCTCGCACCTTGGAAATCAAGAGTGTTCCCATGCCTGCACCAGTGCCTCCACCAAGGGAATGGCAAAGCTGAAATCCCTGAAGGCAATCACAACCTTCGGCCTCCTTGCGAACGACATCAAGCACGGAGTCGATCAACTCAGCTCCCTCAGTGTAGTGACCTTTAGCCCAGTTGTTTCCTGCTCCAGTTTGGCCGAAGACAAAGTTGTCTGGACGGAACAGCTGGCCGAAAGGTCCGGCGCGAACACTGTCCATAGTTCCTGCAGTCAGTATGTTCTCAGGGATAT